GCCCAGCCAAACAGGACCTCTTCTTATTCATCTCAAGCTGAATGTCTTGAGTGTCTGGCATTTAATAAATCCTTAATCAACGTTGGCAGAACAAATGAATGGACAAAATTGTGGCAGTTCTTAAGTAAACCAGTAATGCAGTCGGTCAGCCAATCTGACCTAGAGTTGAGAGATTTACTTTGTAAATTTAATGTGGTTCATGGTCTCAGGAATTCAGTTTCTCCCATACAGGGTCTTCCTGCCTAGCAATAATGTGGCAAGGGAGACTAGCATAAAGTAATTTATAGAAAGATGATTAACGTATTGATTCAAGCAACAACCTCAATATAAAAGGCCTACTAAGACGATTGTAAACCAAAGTTTATTCAGTGCAAAAAGAAGAATTATAAGAAATAAATGACATGAATGAAATTCCAAAATAATTTTTTATTACAAAAACTTTTAATACAATTCAATTGTCTATTAAAACTAACATCAGGACCTTGCCACCCTACTGATTCATAAGGAGACAAATTAGAAAAGTCCAGTGGTTTCTAGGTTGACTAGAATCGTTCCTTTAGTAAAGAATCCTAGGGTTATGTGGTCTTTTCTGTTAATATCCTGACTTAGATTCTTTCTTTAGCAGCAAAGTGCAGCTAAAGGAAGGAATAAAATTCTTGGCAGGCTGCTCTATGGAGTGGAGTGAATAGCAAAGGTGGATGTAAAAGTGCAGAAGCAGCAAGTTACCACAAGAGGGCGAACTGCACAAAAGAGAGCAAGGCGGGTTAGCCGTTCAATTTCTCTAACCTTAAAGAAATAAAAATACTGTGAAAAAAAGTATTCCATGCCTTTATGTTTAGAGCCACAGCTAAACAATCCCATACAAATAAGAAACGGACTCGTATTTTACAGAGCCCCCCCGTCTCTGTCAGTGGAATGGAGGGTTTATTAAGGCCTCTTGCACTGTCCACAGAGTTCCCTTTTTGTCTACCTGCCCTAGTGGCTAATGGTTCTGGATAAACTCATTAACCCTGTAAAGTGTGAGGCGCCAGGCGGCACCTGGTGTCCTTGTTCTTGTAGGCAACTTGGTGTTGTGAGAAGGCCAAAGACCCTGGTACCAGGTCAACATGACTTCAGAGTCTGGCTGTCTCCAGTTCGGTGGATGACAGTGAGTTAACTCCCTTGGGTCTGAGTTTGCTTGTGTAGAAGGTGTGATGATTAAGTGGGCTGTATGTAGGGTGCTTCGCCTAGTGCTTGGCACATACGTGTTCAATCACTAAGGACCATTACTGTGGTTTCCTGCTTATTCTGTTGTCCATAGGCAGCTCACTCTCAGCCTGGTGATCCTAGCACAGGAGTCATCAAGATTAAAAAGTATAAACTAATTTGTTCTTTTTGTTGGTTTCACACCATCAGAAACTTGGACAATTGGAGATATTCTTTTGATAATTAAGAAAAAATGAAAGTGCTGGGGTAAGTACCATGCCGGGCATACGTAATCACAAAAACCCAGAGAGTAAAAGCCCTGAAAGTCCACGTGATGGACATTACAAAGGCAGTTATAAAAATGGAAAACATCAAGGGTAAAATAAAATCTTCAGTGCAAACACAGGTAGCATTAAGTATGATTAAAATTTGGTTGATAATCAGAGGTGTACGTGTGCCATTAGACATATGTTAACTCAGCATATCTCAAATGTTGCCTTTGCGTTAAAATACTCTGAAGGAAACTAGAAAGTACTTGTCAACAGATCATAAAATGCACAAAAAGTATTTAGAAACTGATGTGCTGCCTGAACCTAAATAACAAATGGCTTACTTGGTTTCAGTGGAAGATGAGGGTTTGCACTGTTCAAAGGACCCATACGCCAAGGGAAACTCCCCACATCCATCCTGGAGGTGATGAAAGAATTCTCCACCTCCTTTATTTTCATTTCCTCTGGGCACTGCTTAGATCCTCTGGTATCCAGATGATTGACACTTCAGGCGGATTTTATTGACACCCATGCCCAGAAGGATGAGACCAACCACGACGCCCCCAATCACCGGAAGCGCGATTGTGTAGTCAGACGAGCACTCATCCACTAAGAGAAACAACAAATACAATATAGCCGGTGAGGTTTGGTGACCACAGACCAGAAGGCAGGCTAGAATGGAAAGATATGAGCTTTGGAGTCATACGCATCCAGGCTTGACTTTCAAATCCACCATGAACTTAGCTGTGTGACCTTGGGAAAGTAATTTACCCTTGCAATTGCCTCACTTATAAAGTAACCGAGTAATATGTCAGATTGTTGGAGGATTAAATAAAATAACCTTATCTTGTCAGCAATTAATAATTATTACCCCATTTACTGAACCTAGAAAAAGTCATTCTCGGTGTGCTTTCTGCAACATGGGATGTATCTACATAAAAGAGAGCATTTGTACAACTAGATTACAGATGCTCTCTCATTTTTATTTTATTTGTTTTTTTTTTAAAGTTTTATTCAGTCTCCATAGAGACCATCAAAAATTGCCAGTGCCTACATATGGCAAGTTGTCACAGCGGGGTATTGGGCAATAATCGCACCTTAGACAAACCTCATTGACTACGATACTGCCACTGTGCAAAGCTACAGATGCTCTTTCAAAAACATGTGATGTTATTTTGTAAGACACTTTTGTCACCCCTGAGGTTTCTTGGATTATGTTTAGCTAATACTAGAAAACAGACCAAATGATTTATGAGAGTTTAAAAGTGAGAGATTGTAAACGTTTCAAAACTGTTTTTTTCTTTATTTCATTAAAGAGATGACTTAATTCATTTAAAGTGTAATTGATTGGGTTAGAGACAGATCAGTCTTGACAGGAGAAAGACAGATAAAGGGGAACTTGATGAAATACTCAGTATAATGAAGAGTTCGGGAAAAAAGAACAAATAAATGGAGAACTATATCCATATCTCATTTATGGATAGCTAAAAAGATACGTGCATGAGGTCCTTTATGAACCAACACTGAAATTATGTTCTGAATCAAGGACATTATTAACTCAGCTCTGTGTGCATTAGATCCAAGAAAAAAAGGATCAGAATAAGTCAGAGGAGAGGTAATGGAAAACAGATTCCAGGAATAAGAAAATTTATGCAAGAAAGAAATGCTTGGCAGAGGACAATATGTATGTAACTATAATAATGTATACCTTACTGATCTAACCAAAAAATGCCAGTATAATCACAAATCTTTATCTGCCATAGCAGAAAGTCTAAAACTAAGTTAAGAAATATCAGGCCAGATGCTGTAGGCTCAGTGGTTACAGTGCTGGCCACATACACCGGGGCTGGTGGGTTTGAACCCTGCCCAGGCCAGCTAAACACCAATGACAACTGCAACAACAAAAATGGCCGGGCGTTGTGGCGGGTGCCTGTAGTCCCAGCTACTAGGGAGGCTGAGGCAAGACAATCGCTTAAACCCAAGAATTTGAGGTTGCTGTGAACTGTGACACCACAGCATTCTACCAAGGGTGACATACTGATACTCTCTGTCTTGAAAAAGAAAAGAAATATCATAATTTGCTTTTTTATATTTTAGAGTTATGGATCTAGCCATCAGAAGAAATTGTTAAACTTAGTTAAAAGTATTTTGTCTCTCAGGGGCAAGGCAGGGAAATATTGCTTTTCATGATAAGCAACTTTGGGAGTATACAATACTTCTATTATTTACATATGTTATAGTTCTTAAATAAAAAAGAATTTGGACAAGCAAAGAAATTAATATGCATTGAAAAAAATGCAAACAAGTTAAAGCAAAATGTGAAGCATAACTATTGACCCAGCAATTCCAAATTTAGGAATTTTTATTAAAGATATACATACAACTATACAAAGATATATTACAGTAATCTTCATTTTATGAGAGACAAGTTAAATAGCCACCCAAAACTTAAAGTTATAGTCATATAATAGAATATAACATAGCCATTTGAAAAAATGCTTTTCAGATTGGGTGCCCATAGTTCAGTGGTTAGGGTGCCGGCCACATGCTCCGGGGCTGGTGGCTTTGAACCTGGCCTGGGCCTGCTAAACAAACAAAATAGCCGGGTGTTGTGGCGAGTGCCTGTAGTCCCATCTACTAGGGAGACTGAGGCAAGAGAATCACTTGAGCCTGAGAGCTTGAGGTTGCTGTGAGCTATGACACCATGGCACTCTACTGAAGGTGACAAAGTGAGACTCTGTCTCAATTAAAAAAAAATGCTTTTCAATGTCTTATGTGGAAACTAAAGATAAATAAATAAAAAGAAAGAAAAAAGAGAAAATAGATCGTGGTAGGTATCAATGTTTCCTAAGACCTGTGAAGTGTCACCTAAACTCAAGCAAACGTGTTTGAGTGGCAGGTGACAGATGCAGCAACAACAGGGAGAAGGAGGAGGGACGTGGAGGTCAACTGTGACTGTCAGCATAGTTTTGTACACTATGAAGTTACTTAATTTAACATTATTTAAATAGTTTAAAAATGCAGATGAAGAAGAAGTAAGAAGAATTATCTCATCACCACATCTCTACTATGAATCAGCCTGGCAGGCACCTGCGTCCTCTGCAAACATACGCATGTTTGTATACTCACGTGCATGCTTAGTGAAAAAATCAGTCTACTTTTAATAAGTGATCTATGCTCATTATAAATAATTAAAATAATCAAGAAAAGCACAAGTTAAAAAGCAAAACCCAATCACCCCCAAACCAGAAACCTAGAAATTGTTAGTGCTAACGTGGGCAAACATGATCTCAGGCATCTTCTTTATACAGATAAATGGAAGTATTTTCTTATTAAGATGTGATCATACAAGTGCTATTTTATTAAAGTTGTTAATTTCAGTTTTACTAGGAGAAAAACCACACACTGAGAACTTTCACGTCCACCCTTGTCCCCTCCTCTGAGTCCCCCCATCCCCATCAGAGAACTACTTATGTATTTCGGATGTTTATTTATGCAGATAGAAACACAAATGAACATTTTAAAATTTCCTTCTCTCACTATTATGCATTATGCACGCACTTTTCATATCTTATGCACACACACACACACGGCATCCCCATTCTTTCTGTAGCTGTATCATACTCCGTTGTCGGATGTCTCATAGTGTTTTATTCTGATCCTGATTGATGGATGCTTGGTTTGTTCTCAATTTTTTGCTATTAAAAATAATGCTATGATGAATAACCATGTAAAAATATCATTTTATGCATAAGAAGGTATGTGTTTCCAAATCGATCATTGTTCAGTATTTTTATATTTAAATGAGTAAAACATTCACTAGTATCAGTCTTTTTATTTTATTTATTTTTACTGTGATTTGTCTACCCCTGAAGGCTGTTTGCTTATTTCCTTGTTTATTTTGTGGCTTATCGCCTATCTCATTAAATGACATTGCCAAGCAATATTTTTAATAAGGACTTAGTGGTCCTGTGTCTTTTGAATTATTTCCTGGTTGAGAATATCTGCCTATTGTCTTTATCCTTAAATAATATTTCGGGGTTAGATTTTCTTTCCCCTAGGACATTATAGACCTGTAGACATCCTAGTCCAAAGTTTTTGTCTTTAGATGTTATTGCAAAGAAATCTGAAGTGACCTTTCACCTTCTCACTTTATAGGTGGTTTTCTTTCTTCTTCTTTTTTTTTCATAAAGGCTTAAAAAGTTATTTGTATTTGAAATTCTATAGCTTACTTTAGCTATATCTCAGTGTTAAACTTTCTATATTAATTATTTTCTGGGATACACTGTGCTTTTGCGACCCCAGCTTCAATTGTGTATCTTCAGCAAATTCCCTTAATTCTTTAGCTCTGCACCACTTATCCTTAAGTTGGATGGTCTGAGTAGCTTCTATCTCTTGTTTCCCTGTAATGCTTTAATCATTACAGTTTATCTGTATTTACTATGATTATTTCTGTCTCAAAATAATGTAATTGCAGCTCAATCTTTCATGCATCTCACGGCTATTCCATAGGATGTGATGGTGTTGAAACCAATGCCGCCAATACCTTGACCTTGGATTTCTAGCCTCCAGTGCTATGAGGAAATATATATATTTCTATCGCTTATAGCATCTGGTCTGTGGTACTTAGGTATGACAGACTTAGCAAATAAATACACCTTCCCTCCTTATATTAATTTTATTCTGTGGTATTTTTATTTTTCTGTATTTTTGCATAGGAGCCTTGGAATTTGTTCTCATTTTGCTCATTTGGGCATATCAGTCCAGAAATTCCAGTTCCTGTGTTACCACTGGGGTAAATTATCGTCTTTCTTAGTTATATCTGAGATCAGTTACTGCTTCCTTTTGGGCTAGATATTGGCATTCTATCTTCTTTTGTAGCCTGGGAATGAGCTATAGCCTGGGGGATCCACCGATCCCAGCGTTCATGCTTCCTAGTCTTCCTGGGAACCACTTTTCTTTCCCTCCAGACATAGTAATGGACGTAAGAGTGAATAGGATTTTTTTCTGTCATCATAGGCTTCTTAGGGTGGATGTGTGTTGTGGAGTGGGGGCACTGGCCAGGAGCCCGGCTCTGCTGCCCTCTGCTCTCCTTCACGGAGCACCATGAGGAAATCACAGAGCCAAGCATTATCTACGGCCATTCCCATGGAACCTTTGCGGTTACCGGAGTGTTAATTTAAATTAATTTTAAAGATAGCTGGTGTTGGTAGTGGGGGGAGTGAGTAGCAGAAGTCCGAGCAGTAGCTACCACCCAAAAGAACTCTTTGAAGAAGGTAGGAGGGGAAATTAAATTTAGGTGAACCATGATATTCCTCTGCTCTTGACTTTACATTCTGCTGCTTCTTTCCAACTCTAATAGGAGAAATTTCCACACACTAGAAGATGAACTATAAGTTAGTTGTTCTGTGGGATGGTTAATAGCCCAGTGAATAAAAACCTTTTCCAGTGCTTTTAACACCTGGGGACACCTGGGAGTCTGAGCAGGGGCCTAACTGAGGGTGGAGGGGGAAGGAGGTGGCAGCTCTCCAAAGCCAAGCACTTGCTGTTAGGATTGAATCCCTTTAGGGAACACCAGGTCCTCACAACCCACATTTTCATCAACATCTCCTGACCGGCATTTCCTGACAGTCTGGGGGCTCTTAATGCTCTCTTAAAGCTGCCAAGAGCCCTTCCCACCCACTCACTTCTAAACTGGAGGGTGAGCCAGCACATTGTCTAGACAAGCAGTCGCTATGGAGCTGTTGCCAAATTTCATAAGCTTCATGTTAAAAATAATGAATGGCACCTCTGGAAAATGTAGACAAAGAGAGCTTTCTGTCACTAAAATCCGTTGAGAACATTTGAAAGTCTAAGGATCTACCTTTTCTCTGAACTCAAAACCCAAATTCTCAGGTTTAAACTATCAATGTCATAGAAAACCATGAATAACATTCTAACCCATGTTTGTTTTTTTGTTTTTTTTTTTTGAGACAGAGCCTCAAGCTGTCCCCCTGGGTAGAGTGCCGTGGCATTACAGCTCACAGCAACCTCCAACTCCTGGGCTCAAGCGAGTCTCCTGCCTCCGCCTCCCAAGTAGCTGGGACCACAGGCGCCCGCCACAATGCCCGGCTATTTTTTTTTGGTTGCAGCCGTCATTGTTGTTTGGCGGGTCCGGGCTGGGGATTCGAACCCGCCACCTTAGGTGTACGTGGCTGGCGCCTTAGCCGGTTGAGCTATAGGCGCCGAGCCCCCATGTTTTAATAGAATTTTTTCCTCTAGGTATTTATTGGTTGATGATTTTGTTATGAATACTTGCAGAAAAGGTCAGAGGCTCATCACGTACGCACATCTGCCTTGCCACGCTTGCCATCTCTGGTTGTTTTAATGCTCTGCTTACCTCCCCTCCTACAAAGGCCCAAATTAACACATGTATAAAGATAGACTGGCACCAAAGAAAAAGAGACAAATCAGAAAAAAGTGTCCAGAAGGCAGACAACAAATGAGTTGAAGGAATTGAGAAGTAACATTTATTAAGCCTTTATGTCTGCTGAGATCTTTGGTATGAGCTTTACATGAAGAAAGTGAAATGTCAGACAGTTTAAATTTATTTTTTACTATTAATACATTACAATAGTGTGGACTATATAGTTTTTTAAATAATAGTATACTAAGACCATTTATAATTTAAGTAGATCAGAAATTGGGTAAAATCTAGGAGTTTAAAACTTTGCAATCGATTTTGAAATGCATTTCTTTAATATTTTTTCAAAAACTAAAAATTGAGACCCTTAAAAATGGATAAGAAAATCATTGCATCAGGCGGCGCCTGTAGCTCAAAGGAGTAGGGCACCGGCCCCATATGCCAAAAGTGGTGGGTTCAAACCCAGCCCCGGCCCAAAACTGGAAAGAAAAAGAAAATCATTGCAGTCTGAAAATGCATTCCCACAAGTCTCTTTTTGGGTTTTTTCTTTTTCCTTTGTACAATCATACTGCTCTGACATAATCAGAGTCAGGTTCTGACTCTCAAGCCACAGAAAGCCCCGGAGCCGTGTCTCTATACTGCCCCCTGGTTTTCCATCAAAGCCAGCGCCAGTGTACCCAGGTGTGGCAAATAGTGGCAAAGCTCATCTGACCGGGCCTCCCCAAGGCAGCAGGAGGGAAGAGGGGTGGAGAGTACCCTTTCCTGGCCCTCTGGTGGAAACCCAGTTTTCAGAGCAGCTTGAGTGAGGGTGGGACAGGCACGAGAGAGGTAATCCTTTCACCAGAATGAATGTGAAGCCAGAGTTCCCATGGCCTTAAACTCACATATTTTGAAGAAAGTGGGTTTTATATGTGTTCGTACCCTCTACTGGGCCTCTTTCTGGCCACCAGACATGCGGTTAGCAATACGACAAGCAGTCCTGTGATACTCAGGCCCATGGCCACAGGGATTTCTCTCCTGTTTCTGTCACTGAAGCATTCATCCGCTGTAACTGAAGTCAGAGTGACAGGTGTTACGTGCTGGCCACAGTTGCTGGGAATGACACTACCCCGGTCTGCCTGTTTCACGGAGAAGGAAACTGAGGGAGAGACTGAGCTGCTGGGCCTCCCCCTGCTGCCTCGAGCACCGGGGAGAGAACATGTTAATACAGCTGGGCTGAAACTTGGAGTGCTGGTGATTACTCCAGGAGTTGATGAAACAGTGGATCCTCAGCCTGCGCCCAAGAAATTATAATTCAGTGGGTCTGATGCCTGGGGGATTCTGAGGCTGCTGGGGGCAGATCCCACTTTAAGAAACACTGGTTTGTAGAGGATCATAATCAGAGTCTGGTTCTGACTCTCAAGCCACAGAAAGTCCCAGAGCCATATTCTCCAACTCCAGAAACATGGTTCTGCACAAAATTACAGAGTCAGAACTTTCTATTCAAATTTCCTAAAGGGGTGGCTCAGATGACAAAATCAAGGGCAAAAAGAAAGGATAGCAAGAAACCAAAACTGTTGCAGGCTTCAGAAATTCAGGGGGGGTGAGAACATGAGAGTGAGGAGTCCACTGCGGGACGGCCATTCTCCTCGTGAGGCTCCGCTGTGCACCTTGGAGTCCCCCACAGTGCTTTGAGCCTCTGTTTAAATGCCACCCATTGGTTTTGGTTTCTTGAAGCCTCCCTCTCACCACTAGAGCTATGTTGGTCCTGCTCTCCTCTGCACCCCATGGTCCTTTGCCCATACAGGCAGTCCCCACGTTACAAACATCCAACTTACATGCAACTCACTCTTATAAATGAGGCTAAGGAAAATGTACCTGTTCCAAATTACATGCAAATTCAACCCAAGAACAAACCTGCAGAACCTATCACAGTAACCCAGGGATTGCCTGTATGTCTTTTTTTTTTTTTTTGAGACAGTGTCTTACTTTGTCGCCCTCAGTAGAGTACTGTGGCATCATAGCTCACAGCAACCTCAAATTCTTGGGCTCAAGGGATCTTCTTGCCTCAGTCTCCTAAGTAGCTGGGCGTACAGGCATGTGCCACAATGCCTGGCTACTTTTTTAGCCAGGGTCTTGCTTTTGCTAAGGCTGGTCTTGAACATGTGAACTCAAACAATCCACCCACCTTGGCCTCCCAGAATGCTGGGATTATAGGCGTGAGTCACCATGCCTGGCCCTGCCTATATGTCTTTTAAAGACCGTATTGTAGGTTATGTGCTCCTTTTCCCCCTTTTCTCTTATTCTCTGGTGGAAAATATTATTTACTGAAGGTCATACATCTTCACATTTGAGCATCTTTAGTGAAATTTGAAGTACAAAGGCTAGGAAAATGGAGTTGAGCTGAAACAATGACAGTGCTTCACCTCCAACTCATTGAAATGAACAAGAGAGACCTTTGGGAAGTAGAGCTGACAGGGCTTTGAGACCATTTGCATGAGAAGGTGATGGGGAGAGAAGTGTGATGGGGAATTCTGAAGTCTGTTGTTGGATATTGGAACTATCCAATAAATGGTGATATTAGAAAAAAATGTGAAGAAGAGAGATTTTTCTATCTCTTCTAGGTGTGTGCAGCAGGAAGGTTGTCTTTTTTTTTTTTCTGTCCTGTGGCATCATAGTTCACAGCAACCTCAAACTCTTTAGCTCAAGAGATCCTCTTGCCTCAGTCTCCTGAGTATCTGGGACTACAGGCACCTGCCACAACACCCGGCTATTTTTTAGAGACAGGGTTTTGCTCTTGCTCAGGCTGATCTCAAACTCCTGAGCTCAAGCAATCCTGCCTCGGCCACCCCGAGTGCTAGAATTACAGGTGTGACCCACCATGGCCAGCCTGAAATCTTAAATTTTAGATACCACACATAATCAGATTCTTTAAGTGTTCTCCAAACATACCTGAAGTGTGCTCCAAGTATACCTGAGTTTACCAATGCTTAACAGCATGAAATTGCTAATGGTATGTTCTGATTTTCTGCTTGAGTGTGTCTATGTTTGAATGAGTGAAAATACAGAGGGTGCCAAAAAAAGTAGACACATTTTAAGAAAGGAAAAACTGGTATTAAAATTATAATGTTCAATACACACTAATAAGAAAAAATGTATACAAATCACGTTTGAGCACCTCTTGTAACTGCAGAAATCAAACATACCTCGAGTATTACAATTTTAGTACAGATTTTCCTTTCTTAAAATGTGTATATATATATTTTTGGTACCTTCAGTTTATACTTGTAATATTCAAGTCACGTCTGACTTCTGCAATTACCGGAGATACAAGACACAATATAAAGATAATAAACATAATCGGTGTATGTTACTATAATTTTAATAGTTTTTTTCCTTAAAAATGTGTATGTCTTTTTTGGACACCTTCTGGGTGTGTTTCAGTGCAGCAGAAACACTCCTTCTGCAGGAGGGCTGTGGGCAAGAGTGAGTTAAGTGTCAGATTTTGAGGTGGGAGGCAGGGTGGCCAGAGAAACCTGCCCTGAGAGCAGTGTGGTCTCGCTGTTCTAAGAAGCTCTTGTGATTCCTGCTCCTTTGGTGGTTTCCAACAGAAAATGCCTTGTAATGACCCTGGGTCTCTGAAGTTTGTGATCAAACCCTGAACTTACCATTTCCAAAGCGGTCGTCTTCAAAATCAAAGGCTTGAAGTTGGACATTCATCGTTTGCAGCTGGAACTGGGCTGACAGCTGGAGGCTCTGCTCGCTCACACACCTGAAGGAATGTCCAAGCACCGTCTCAAACATCACCATCCCGCTCTTCAGTCCACGGTAAATTATCTCTGGAAAGAAAAGATGAAGTCTTCACATACACCCACTGAGCTCCGCTGGGGCTGGGTTGCCCACGTGCATCAAGTGGCCAGTCCAGGCATTCCGCCACCTCCCCTCCTGAAAGAACACCCTGGGGCTGTTTCTGGGCTCTGAAAAACGCCAAAATGAGAACTTTTGAGGATGTTTCCTTTGGTTATTTTATTTTATTTATTTTTCTGCTGCTTTTAAAACATAACATTTTTTGCTTAGATGGTTCGAACGGCTTTCTTTTCATTCTGAATTTGGAAGTTCTGTACAACTGAATACAAAGAGGAATAAAATGTATCCAAGTCCTTTGTTTATTTTATTTTATTTGTTTTTTTGAGACAGAGTCTCATTTTGTCACCCTTGATAGAGTGCCCTGGCGTCACAGCTCACAACAACCTCTAGCTCTTGGGCTTAAGTGACCATCTTGCCTCAGCCTCCCAAGTAGCTGGGACTACAGGCGCCCGCCACCACGCCCGGCTGTTTTGTTGTTGCAGGTGTCAGTGCTGTTTTAGCTGACTGGAGCCAGGTTCGAACCAGCCACCCTCGGTATATGGGGCCAGCGCTCTACTTACTGAGCCAAGGTGCCGCCCTCCTTTGTTTATTTTAAATCAGTGGGGACAGAGTAGGTGGGGAACGTTGGCAATGGTTGGATGCTGCCTGTGGGTGCCATAACATTTCAGAACTAAGAGAGATACTATTGCTTTCTGAGCCTCTCTAAGTTACAAGAGCCCGTAATGAATCAGAGAGAGACACACAAAGTCAGCAGACGGGGTGTTTGCGTAGCACTGGACTGAATGGCTCGAAGTAGCAGAAGAAAGAGCCCTTAAGGAGGGTTATGGCATCATCTGCGGAAACACAGGAAAGGGCCTCTCTCTCCTCAATATTCTACTTACATTTAACCAACAATCATTAACAGAATCTTTTGAACATTATCAATACAATGTAGCTAATATTTCAAGTGGACATTACTGCATGCTTTCATTTCCTGGCAAATTTCTTTTGTTTAAGTTCCTTTATTAATAAAATGTTATTTTAGCCCGTCAAAAGCTAGAACTTCAAGAAGGAGAAAACAGACATGAAAATGGCTAGTTCAGTTCCTGGCACAGAGGATATGCTCCGTAAAGGTTGTTACCAAGTCCGGGCTTTCTGGGCAGACACCGGAGGCCTCGCAGAGACTTGTTGGACTTGACTGGGAACTTAAACATCTCTCGTTGTGAACAGTGTGGGAGTTCTGAGAACATGTGTCCCTGCAGGGGACTCTTACAGCAACCAAAGGAAACCTTTAGACCCGTGAATTTGATATATCACTTCCCTTCCCCCAAGCCCTCCAATGGCATCCTCTCACACTTTATGATCAAGACCACAGGCCTCCCCTTGCCTTGCCCACAGGCCCTATGTGCTCTGGCCTAGTACCCAGACCTTCTCTGCTATTTGTCCCTCCCCACGGTACCTTGGCACTGTGCAGGTCCTTGAACACACTAGCAAGCCAGCTCCTTAGGGCTTCTGCTGTCCCTGCCATTTGGAAGAGCTTCCCCAGGCCCAGACACCTCCAAATAGTAGGATTTCTCTGTTCAGGCCTCCGCTCTGCAGAGAGGTGGTCCTCTTCTGAAGACTTTCCTAAGGCTCTGCCTGAAACAGTTTCCCACTCCTCCCCACGTTCCCTATTGTGTTTGCTCACAGAACTCATCTCTACTTGACAGTGCACAGTACAGTAGTTCCGCTTTAGCCTCGGGGGGTAGGTTCCAAGACCCCCAGTGGATGTGGATAGTACTGAACTCTCTCTCCCATTCTGTGTGTGTATAAACATATACAGACGTACACGTATACATATTACGTATATACATGTGTATACACACAGATGTGTGTATATGTATAAGGTTTTTTCCTATACTTACATACCTATGATAAAGTTTAATTTGTGAATTAGGCATAGTAAGAGATTAACAACTAGTGATAAAATAGAACAATTATAACTACTGGACTCACCTATTTTCAGACAGTGGTTAACCACAAAAAGTGAGACTGCAGGGGGATGACTGTGTTATAATTTCACGTTTTTGGTCCTCTCCCCCTTCTAGAGTGTAAGCATCATGAGGGCAGGAATTATTAGTTTGGAAAATTTATGGATCCCCAGTGCCTAACATAGGGTGTGGCACCTAGCAGGCACTAACTACATCTTAGGAGAATAAACGCATGATTCCAAGAATATGGAATAAATTCACTATCAATGGCAAGTCTGGCAAGTCTATCAAAAAGTCCCTGAACTCTTTTCGTGTTGCTGATAATGATCTAACGTAGTCTAATTTCCTCTCTAAATAGCAGGGTAAGCAAAAACACACGAAGGAGCAACACATTCCCCCCGAGTTATAATGCTGGCTACTGTCTCAGTCTGTTTCCTAAAAGCAACAAAGATTAGTAGATTGAATAGGATGAAAAACAAGCCAGTCAGAAACAGTGTCATCTCTTGTACAACAGCCATTCTTTAAGTACCTACCTGGATTTGAGACAGTCAAACTGGCCCCCACTTCGTTGATGTAATAGGATTTTTCATCCTGTAAAACAACAGTGTGTTAACCTTTCAGTAATCTCATTCTTATGTTTATGATCCTAGGTTACAAATTTGGTTTAGGCAAGATTTCTGCTATTAAAACTTTGATGTGGGGTATTTGAAGTATATTGGTACTGGGTCATAATTGCATATGGAAATTTCAAAAATGAAGAAAAAAGAGAAATACACCGCACAATAAATAAATAATAAGTAAAAGTTTACCCCTGGCCTCAAATTTCTCTATTGTATACTTTTGCTAGAGCCTGAAATTCAAATTCTGTGGATACAATTTGAGTCTCTTCAATTTCTCCCATTAAAATGTAAGTACAGGCTCAGTGCCTGTAGGTCAGAGGCTAGGGTGCCATTGGAGCTGGAGAGTTTGAACCCAGCCCAGGCCTGCCAAACAACAATGACAGCTACAACTGGAAAAAAAAAATTGCCAGGCGTTGTGGTGGGTGCCTGTAGTCCCAGCTACTTGGAAGACTGAGGCAAGAGAATCACTTAAGCCCAGGAGTTTGAGGTTGCTGTGAGCTGTGATGCCATAGTACTCTACTGATGGCAACATAGTGACACTCTGTCTCAAAATAAATAAATAAATAAAATGAAATAAAACATAAGTACACTGGAAGGTGGAGGGACTGGGGGGGACACAGGGTAAGCTTCTACTAGTAATTGATATCTAAGGGTAGGGATTCTTATTCTGACCACTCATCCTTAAGGATACCAAGGGGCAAACTTCATGGGGTTCATAAACCCTGTAGGAAAAATAATGTGTTTCAGGTTCCCAGGTGGGATGTACATCGCTGTAAACAGATTAATAGGTTTGTGTTTCCAAAATGGTTAAATGGGGCCACAAGGAAGGATTCTGGGAAGAAGCGGCTTACCTTGGACTCACTGGGTGTTCTCTAGAAGAGGCCCCCAGGGCAGCTGTATTTCAAACACAAAACAATGCCCCCACATTTTATCTGGGGATTTTCCTTTTAGAAAAACAAAACAAACTATAAAACAGCCCTATAACTTTCTGGAAGACCAAGGGTATGAAACAGTCAAGGGATGTGTACTGGGGTATGGGCAGCTAAGTTGAAAGGGGTGGTTTTTGTTTTTTAACATAGGTGATTTGCTGTGTTCTCAATTTTAAATACTGATTATAAAACGACATACAAATAAGAAGTGGAGAGCAGCCAAAATCAGAATCTAAAACTGAATTGTTTTAGAAGTTTCAAGTCTTGGGTGGTGCCTGTGGCTCAAAGGAGTAGGGCACCAGCCCCATATGCTGGAGGTGTAGGTTTAAAGCCAGCCCCAGCCAAAAAAAAAAAAAAAAAAAAGAAGTTTCAAGTCTAGCCATTAGAGAAATTTAACAATACTCATCTTGGGCACATTATAGTTCATTTGTATATCATTAGTGAATTAAAGGAAGATTCATTAAAAACTATCTCATAAGGTCACTGACACTGATATGCTGAACTCGAGATCCCACACCTCATTGAATAGCACCTACCGCCCACTGGCTTCTTACCTGTGCCAGACCCCTGCGTGCCACTGCCTTTTTGCCCCACAAAGAGGACCCATTGAAGGGTGTTAACTAGGAAAGTGACGTGAGCACAGCTTTGCTTTTGGAAATTGCTGAGATTGCATGAGGTTGCTTTAAGGAGCAGCAGGAGAACAGGATGAGCCCAGCTCTGAGCCTCCTGGAAGGCCTTCTGGAAACTTCCCTTCGCTTTGGCAACTCTCTGAGCTGTCCACACCTAGGGAAAGGGGACTAGGAATTTCACAGATTGCCAAATTCACGCTTTCACCTACATTGCCTCATTTGTTCCTTATAACAACCCTGTGAGACAGAAAAAAATATCAGCCCATTTTACAGTTGAGAACCAAGAGGCTCAGAGGAGCTGGGCATCTGCCTCAGATGCACATAGTTTATGGATGAGACAAAGCAAGATCTGCTCTATCTTCTCCTCCACAGGATGTGTGGGTGCAGAACAGAAAGTAGTGATGTGAGATTGTTCTTTCACATTCCCTGAAGCGGCAGTAACTGGTGCCCCTAACTGTCTCTGGGAGGCAAGACCTGCCATATGATGAATTTTTGGAGCTTAGCACAAAGTGAAAAATGCAGGGCCTCCTGTTCAAAAGTCATTAAGAATTCCAGGAGGCCATAGAACATAGTAAGCCGAGCAGGAGCCCTTGTCAATGTACAGGTCAGACACCCGGAGCCAGCCCCGACGGGAAGGGCCACTGTGGTTCTGCAGGAGTCTGAGCTTCACAGGGCTAACCCTCCAACTGAGGCCCTCCATGGCAGTGCTCACATGCACCGCTGAGTTCTTGATGTACAGGGCAGACTCTGGACTCCCCACTCAGGTTACTTTTCCTTTGGGCTGGGTCCAAATCAGCCAGATGTGGCCCAGGGCTGAGCTGAGGTCTAGCTGAGGCTGGTAGTCATGGGTGTTCAGGACGCAGACTCTGTCCTCAGCCTGAGTTGGGCCTTTGCAGCTCAGCATCGCTGTGGCTAAATCGAGAAACCTACACTCTGGACTAACAAAAGGGAGTCAAAGAGGCAGCTTCTTCACGGCGGCTGATGTACTTTCTGGCAACTAGGCCCAGAGTTCTCTGCAAAATGTAGATTTACTCCTTCATTGATTCATTGGTTCATCAAACATTTGCTAAAGGTGTATTATGTACAAAATCAGGATTGGATGCTAGAGACAGAAATGTGAATGAGCCGTGTACTTTGCGGGGGGGGGGGATGGAAAAGTGACAAGTGCAATGACAAAGGTTGGAGGACAACAAACTCAGGGAACAAAGAGGAGAAGGCTCTCATTTTACCTGGTTGACAGTGGAGGTGGGGAGGTGGCACATCATGGGGTGATGTCAATTTGGGTTTTTTTTCTTTCTTTCTTTCTTTCTTTTTTTTTTTTTTTTTTT